TCGGATTGAGGTGGCAAGTATCTCTCTGACGAATTCAGGGACTACTTGAAGGACAATGGGATAGTGTCACAACTAGCTCCTCCTGCTACACCTCAACTCAACGGTGTTTCAGAGAGGAGGAATAGGACCTTGTTGAGGTCATTTCTCGTACGCTCAAAGTTATCTACATCCTTTTGGGGATACACATTAGAGACTGCTATCTATGTGCTGAATCGGATTCCAACCAAATCAGTTCCGAAAACTTCATATGAACTATGGACCGGAAGGAAGCCAAGTGTAAGACACTTAAAGATTTGGGGTTGTCCTGCACACGTTAAAAGAATAAGTGCGGACAAGTTGGAGTCTAAAACCAATCGTTGCTTATTTATAGGCTACCCAAAAGATTCGATGGGTTATCTATTCTACGACCCAAGCGAACAGACAGTGGTCTGCAGTCGAAACGCCCAATTCTTAGAAACTGAATACATCATGGACACCCATCGTCAGGAAATAGTTCTTGATGAGGATAGCTCAGGAGTAGTGGGAGATGTCCCACAAGTTCCAGGTGGTGACCAACATAGAAGATCCACTCGGGTATCCAGACCTCCAGTCCGATATGGTTATGATCAGGATAGTTACCTGGTGGAAGCCTTGACTAGTGAGGAGGATCCCGTAACTTATGCGGAAGCTATGTTAGAAATAGATTCCCAGAAGTGGGTGGAGGCCATGAGAGCTGAGATGGACTTGATGGAGACCAATGGAGTCTGGACTCTAGTAGATCCGCCCTCCGGGGTAAAAGCAATTGGTTGCAAATGGATCTACAAGAGGAAGAAGGGCCCCGATGGTAGGATTGAGACCTACAAAGCTCGTTTGGTGGCGAAAGGGTATACTTGGAAAGAAGGCATCGAATATGAGGAAACCTTTTCGCCCGTGGCCATGCTCAAATCCATTAGGATCCTACTAGCTGTAGCAGCATACCATGGCTACGAGATTTGGCAAATGGATGTCAAAGCCGCGTTGCTGAATGGAGATCTTAGTGAAGATATCTACATGCAGCAGCCACAAGGCTTCATTGTTGCTGGTCAGAAACACATGGTATGTAAACTTTATAGATCCATATATGGACTTAAGCAAGCATCTAGGAGTTGGAACATTCGTTTTGATTCTGCCGTCAAAACGTTTGACTTTGAGCAGAATTCGGATGAACCCTGTGTTTACAGGAAGTCCAGTGGGGATAAGATCACCTTTTTGGTGTTGTACGTGGACGATATCCCACTCATTGGGAATGATGTAGGAATGTTGACTTCGGTCAAGGTATGGCTATCACAGCAGTTCTCTCGAGTAGAGCTCTCAAGATGGAAATGCTTTAAGTCCAAGAAAAACCATTAAATTCAGATGAATCATGTATATATATCTCTATATACCATTCAATTCACACTACGAATTATCCAGTCAATTATGTGAATTCATCTTTCAATTCATTCACATAACACAAATCAATTAAGAGGTGGCCAAACTCTTAATTGTATTAAGCACAATAATTCATAGACTATATGGAAATCACATTCTTGGATAAATCATAAAGATAAAAATATATTCATAACATGGTTAGGCTTTCCACAGCCCTAGCAAGAAACAAATCAGTTCATGATAAGAGAATTAAAGCAAACAAAGGGAAAGAAAGAACTCTTGAATTTGYCCATGGTGYTGAGATCTCCTCTTCTTGYCGCCACCTTCTTCTTGAGATTTCTTGAATTCTTGATCACATTTTCTCTGTTTCTTGACTTCTTTTCTCCTTTCTTGACTGATTGCTCAATGCAATACATGATCCCCTAGGGCTGGTACCCCCAGCTCTCATATAGATTACAATTTCTTGGAGTTATCTCCAGAATGGATAATCCAGCCTTGATCCAAACTCCTCCTCCTATCCTATCTTCTCTCCTCTCTCATTTTCTAAAACCTTTCTTAATCTTTCTGGAATTACATTTAAAAGTTTAAATCTAAGAGGACTCTCGAACTCTTGAATTCAAATGGGCTGCCTCAATGTTGTTCTGCGAAATGGGCTTCAGTTGGGAATTGGGCCTCACTACGAAAGTGATCCATCTTTGGGCCCGGACTTTACTTCGATGTAGGCCGAATATGCTAAACATGAAAGTTGTAGCTTTATCTCTTGTCTTTTCAGTGGATCTTGAATTAGCCCAATCGGAGCTTGGATGTGAAGGTTAGGCCATGATTACTGATCGCTGTCGAAACTGTGAAAAACCCATCCGATTAGCCTACCTTTGCTCCTAATGCCTTCTTTCATGCCCTGAATCAAAATACAAGAGATATGAGTCCAMTTAAGTACTAATTAGGTATGAAAGACAAAATATTTGGGGATAAAAATGTGATAAATTCTACCCTCATCACATATGACCTAGTGGAGGAGATGGTATCAAACAGCT